TTTTGAACCAAAATAAAACTTTAAGAGCCACTATATTTCATAAAGAACCATTGTAGCAAATAATATATCCCATTTCTAAGTCTATTTGTCAACAATCCTCCAAAACCACCATTAACTCGAACTCATGACTATAAGTAGAATTTGCTTTTGCATCTTCCCTTTGGTCAACATTTGAAACCTATGTTAACTTAAACTCACGATTGTCATCTTCGTCTAACATTATATATAAAAGGTTGAACTCACTTCATTCGTCTTTTACATCCTTTTAATCCCCTCCTTGGAAAAAAAAAAAATTCTAAAGCACTGGCTTTATTTGGACTCTTTGCATTTGTCCTCATTCTACCATTTATATTTAACTTCACTCCATTTAACTTTATTACGTTGAGGTTAAAAATTTTATTCAAACTCGTTATAGTTATCTTCACTTCACAATCTATATCATTCATTTTCACTCCACTATTGTATTTATTTGTCCTCACTTTATCATTAGAGTTGGACTTCTTTCTATCCCTTCTACCCCCTCCTCCAAAAAAGAAAAAGGGTTTAAAGCATCATAAGAAAAAAGGAGGAAAAAAAATTGTAGAAGAAGAAAAAGTGGATGAAGAAGTATTAGAAGAGGAATTTTCAACAATTATTAAAATAAAAGAAAAGAAAAAAATATGTTTAAAACTTGGAGAACAAAGATTTACTGTGATAAAATACTTTAGTTAACATAAGATAAATAAAGGATTCACACCATTCAATCTCTTCAACCTCCTCAAGACACAATTTAACACTTATGACAAAAACATTAATAGAAAAGCCCACAATTTCAAGGGAACATATAAACCTTTCAATAACAATAATAAAACAAAGGTTCTTAATAACACTTACAACTAGGGAGCACTCAATTTAAAACTTTGGCCAAAGTGACTCAATTATTGGAATGAGGGAATACTCAATATTAAAATTGAAATTAATATAAGAAGGGTAGAAAACACTTAACTCAACAGCAGATTAAAAATGAGGATCATAAGAGTAAAAAATAATTGATGTGTCAGGAGAAAAAAATATTGCAAATGAGGAAAGAACACTAAAAAAATGAGGTAGCCGGGAAATAAGAAAGGGTTAGAAAAAAGTAGAAGGTAAAGTGAAAGGATCAAATGATAGACACTTACCTAAATCTCTAACTCATCTCCAAAGCTATCTCCATAATAATCAATTTTTTTGTCACAATTTAGACTTTGTTTGAGCTAGTAAATATTGTCTTCTTATAAACTCAATTTTTAAACATTCTCTAAAGACTGGATTGCATCATTTATATCTCACTAATCAATATCACAATCACACTTCATATTAACAGGAGATAGCAAAACACCAAAAATAGAACAAGTTATATAATCACATCTCATAAAAGTTGGAAACAACAACACACCAAAGATGGGTGCAACACCATTATAATCACACCCCATAACACCAAAAGCTCAATTTAATAGAGTAATATCAATAGCCTTAAATGACATACTCTTTGATTAATGATAGCATAGGATAGTAGAAGAAAAGAATGTAATAAAGCTTAGAAGAAAGAGCATATCTAAGCACAGTGATAGCTAAAATTTTAGATCTTGCAAAAGGCTAAAATATATTTAAATCTAAAAGAGAATGAAAAATAAAAATAAAAAGCACAATCCCAAACACTAAAGCAATAAGACCAAACCTTCAGGGATATATTGCAATACCCCTCACTTCCATCAATGTGTGTGTTCAAGATATAGAAATAGTTATATTAATTAGGGTTTAGACCTCTATTTACATGCAATCCTAAATGGAAAATTCATATGCTATAGTATTATAATTGATGTATTACCTAGTCAAGGTAATACATGTGTGTGTATATATATATATATACAAACTTACACAAGTAAATAAATGTTTATGACAGCATAAAAAGTTTTGAAAAAAAAAGAGAAAAAATAACATGTAGTAATTAATGACCAAATAATAATTATGTGTTAAAATAGCATAAACAAGTTATATATATCAACTTATTTATAAGATTTATAACATGTTAAGTATAAAATTATGTTTCTCTTATCATTTTCTGAATCTAAATAGTAAAACAAACATGTTCAAATTTTCAATTAAATATATATTAAAACTTAGATTTAAAAATATAGTGAAGGATTCAGCAAATTTGATGAAAAACAAATATGATCATATACTATGATTTTAAATAGTTATATAAATACAAATTTAAATTATTTTTTAATTATTAAACATATACTTTTTAGTATATCAAAAAATATTATTTATTTCAAGTTTTAAATAAATGAATTTTATATTATAATTATTTCAATAAAATTCACCTAGTTTAGATTTAAATGTTATATTCCTAAAGATACCCAGTGAAAAAAGCAAGAGGGAAGTAAAAAATTTCAAAACAATAAATATTTTAAATTTAAATAAAATGTGATTAAATATTTTAATTACTTAGACAACCAAATTCAAAAACTTATTGTTAAAAGAAATTTTAAAGTAAATTAAAAGTGTTTGAAACTTTAAATTTTAAATTTTTTTCAATAGATTTAAAATATTGTAGTACTACCAGTAAGTTTTAATTTTGTTAAAATTTATATGTTAGAATAATTCAATATAAATTTTATTATGTTTTTTTATTATATTCTTTCACCTAAGTAGGCTTTAATTTTAGTATCTTTTACATATAACCTAAAAATAATAAATATATTATATTATATTAATTTTTTAAATTGTTTATAAAATATTTTATTTTAAAGTATTTATTTTTATAGAGATGAATCTTGATGTATAAAATAATTCTTACCTATAATCTTTAAATGCAAAAAGTTAAATATAAAAATTCAAACTAATATATCAAAGTAATTTTTTTCACTTTGATTCAGTTTATGATAGTGATTTATTTCTCAACCAAAAAATGTTAAACTATATATTCATCTTGATATATTTCTTAATTCAGAATTTAAAATTTTAATATATCAATGCTAGTTACTTGTAAAAAACAATAATGAAAATATTAGCAATATTTTAATTGAGAAATACTATTTAGAAAAATGACAAGTTTCAAAGGGCATTTACTGAAAACAAAGGTAAAGAGAATCACATAATTTAATTAATCATTACAGCTTATTTATTTCCAAGATACTGGAGAAATCCTGGGAGTTCCACGAAGCTTCCAATGCCAGTGTAGGTTGTTTTTAAGAAAATAAAGGAAAAATAAAATTACACTCCTAAAACAAACCCTAAAACCCTGAAATTAGGGTTCTTCGTCTGGGGTGGCGCCGTGCGACATTCGCGCCCACCAGCAGCAGCAGCATTGGAATCAATCCATACCCTTTTGGGTAATGGCGGCGGAAAAAAAGCCCCTGGATCCAACAATGGAGCCGGGCTACAATCCTGCGGACGTTCAGGCTGGGTATGTGTCTCGGTCATTTAGCAATCTCATCCGCTTCTTCTTTAGCTGGTATTCTTGGTGGGAGGCCTGTGGATTCTTTGGAGCGGATGCGGCCAGCACTGAGCCAAAATTCGTTATGGTAGAAGAAATTTAAACGTTTTTTCTTCGTAGTGAACTCTCATCCTTCTTCGTTGCGAAGGTGTTGCCACCACCAAACGTGACGGGGCATTTGCACCTCGGCCATGCTCTTACCGTGTCTGTGCAGGTATAGCCGGTTTTGGTGTAACATCGATTTTTTGTAACTCTTGTGTTGGTGTGTGATTTAGGATGCTCTTGTCCGGCATTCCCGAATGAGCGGCCGCGTGACTTTGTGGTTGCCTGGAGTCGATCATGCAGGGATTGCTACGCAGGTGGTGGTCGAGAAGAAGCTCGCATCCACGCAGAACCTTACCCGGCATGATCTCGGGAGAGATGCGTTTGTCAAGAAAGTTTGGGAGTGGAAGACAGAGTATGGAGGAGCCATTTGTTCTCAACTCCGGACAATGGGAGCATCGCTAGATTGGTCTCGAGAGGTTTACAAGCTTTTTTTCCCCTCCCTTGTTTACCATCTCGCAAGTAATTGCTCTTCTGGACAGTGCTTCACAATGGATCTGCAGAGGTCACGCGCTGTAACTGAAGCTTTTGTGCGGTTATACAAAGCGGGACTGATTTACAGGTATGTGTACATCAACTTCAGTGATAGACTAACGTTTTTCTTGTCCCAGGGCCAACC